GCCAGGCCGGGCCGGGCCGGGGGCTGCCTGCTGGCTGATGACAATGTCAGAGATGGGCAAGAAACGGCACGGTCAGCCAGAGAGGGCTAGAGCTCTCAGGCAAACATTCATTAAAAAAAAAAATCACTGGTAGCTAGTTATTGCCCATTAGTGACATTGACAGTAGTAAAAAAGAGAACGTTCAAGTAATAGCGATGATGTAAGTCACTTCCACAAAACAATAAAGGCAAAGAGCTCCTGGCGCTGCGTAGGAGCCTTCCTCCAGCAGCCCGCCTCTGACGCACACGCGAAGGGTTTACGACTGCCCTCTCACACAGAGCACGCCGTAATCTACTCCAGATGGCCTGGAGAGCTGTCTTTAGGACACACGGCTCAGAGACGGCTGGAAGAAACGTTGGGGTTGCTGGTGTCCAAAACCTCCTCGGGCAGAGCTAGGAAGACTCAAGCAGGCCTAGCCTGGGACACGCTCCCGTGTGCACCCTCCCACGCTCCTGTTGTCCAAACGTTAAACAAGAGTCGCTTTCGTCCACTAGCCTTCCAAAAAAGCAATTAGAGACGATGGGATCTTTGGGGCATAGAGACAATTCAGGCTGCTAAATTTAACAGCTTGACCTGATGTTTAATCTGACACTATTCAATAACGTGGTGTAGCTCAACACCATCTATGGTGTTTGGTTCAGACCCATGTATAGCATTGCCAGATTTATTTTCTCTGCCCTTTCCTTTCAGAGCTATTTGCAATCCAGGTTACAAGATGTAACGTGTTCTTTCTGTTTTCTTGCCAAGCCAGGGCAATTTAGGTTGAGTTTGCTTGTTTGGTTTTTTTTAAACTATCCATTAGCTACAGAGTATTACAAGATTCTGGGCAACTTCACGTTTGTACCAAGTGATTCCACAATTTTTTCCGAAGCTCTATAGAAAAGGCCTTACATCACTAACCATGCTGATCTAGTTACTTGTAGAAGTATTTCAGAATTTCCAGTATCATAGCAATAACAGTCATATTTCTATAGAAGTCTGTTGTTTTTCATAGAACCTTCTCTCAACCATAAAAATGCAGTCTGGACAGAGAGTTGGTATAGAAGAAGCAGAGTACAATAGATTAAAATAATCTGTTTGTATATTTGGTCATGTTATGATTCTGACTTTTTCGCTATTCATGTAACTTCAATGTGCAGCAGGCTTAGATTAGAAAAATGGATCCATAACATTTGCAATGTTTGTGAAAAAGTGTTAAGGAACAAATGTTTTTATGACAAAATCAATTTTTTCCTCTTTCCCAATTTGAAATTTCAGGTTATTTGTAAGCAGGTCAGTTTATTACAAATTCAATACACCTATGTGAAAGAGATTAGTAAAGAACATCTGTGGCCCGTGTCTTATCTGGTGAATAGTGTGGCTGTCTCCACTGAAATTAATGAGGCTTTACAGCAAAGCTGAGATTTCCTGTATGATTTAGGATGAGGCAAATGTCAGCTTTGACATGATATACCTGCTCTTACAGCTTGAAACCATTGTACTTAGCAGAGTCACTGACCTCATTTTAGTGCAATAGGCTGTTACACAGATGATCCACAGCCTTAACAACCAGTCTAAAGAAATCATGACGGACTCTCAAGTAAATAAAAAAGTAGAAAAATTAATTTTGTAATTTTGTTTTCAGCTTGTATAATAATCTGAAAAACACAAACGAATAATGCAGTGGCCTTTTAAAAGAGCTCCATAAAATCTATTATGAATTTTGAAAGATCTAGCAAATGAAATATTCCTGGGAGGCCTTAACAAACCAAATAAACAATGTAGTTTATATAATATGAAAGCTCAAGAATTACGTAACTATCCTTGTCTGACTGAAAATAGATATTTAATATCTGAGTTGTACTTCTTAGGTCTGTCTACCTGCAAATTCCAAGTAGCTACTAAGGAGAAAATGTTTTGACATTTTCCTTTAAATCAGTTTATCCAATTCTAGGTTATGAATGTATAAAGATACAATAGATTGTATTAGTTTCTGAAGCTTTCCTTTTCCTTACAAAATTTCTGGGTTGTTCCAATTTAAA